TTCTTCTGCAAATTTTCCTTGCCCCTCACAAATTTATAGCCCATTGAGGACTTTCTGTGGGTGGCTTGAAACATCTGGGTAGCAATCCTTCAGTCTATGTCCTGCACCCCTTCGTTAAACAATGGCGCACAGGCTGCAGGCAGCCAGGAAACCTAGGAGGAAGAATGGAGCTGGTTAACATGTATATTCACTACCAGCCCTCAATTAGGTGGCGAGCAAAGGTGGAGGAGCTCAGGATCTTACTTTATCAGCCTCAGAAAAACATTTCTGCAATTGTTACATCATGTTTCATTAGACTAATTCAGTCTAGGTGATGCTAATTTCTTCCTGGGTGTCAGGCCTATTGCTACCAGCTGCCACTTTTACAAGAGGTTTTGCAGTAGATTCAGGCTGAGCTGGTTGAACTCATATATCCTGGTCCATTGACATGACAGAGGGGAAGATGTCTCAGAGCACACACAATTAATTTACAAGAGTTTTACATTTACATTAATTTAATGGATTTTAATAGAGAGGGCAAGTTTTCCCCAGAGTTTTAAAAGCATTAAGTAGCTAGGATAAAGCTCCCTATTGAACTCTAAATTTAAATATTTTATACAAAATGTCTGTATTTCTAGGAATTTATCTGATAAGCTATATCTTTTAGTAGATACTTTTTTTGCTTTGGGATAACCAGGATGTGTGAGAGAAGGAAGAGAGGAAGGAAACTTTCCCCCTTGTATTTATGTTATTCAGTGTGTTACAGTGTCTGTGAATGACACATGCTAAGTCAGTTACTTATTTTATTGAGATCTGCTGGACTGAACTAATGTTTGTTTAACTTTCTCATTGTTGGACCAGCCAAGTGTTGCATGTCATGTTCCTCACTGCAAACTGTGAATGCAGGAGATATCACAACTTAGAGATCTTAGTAAATTCTGGGGAAAATTTTGTTCCAGATCTAGGCTTATAGTCCCATTTAGTATGTCATGATTAGGTACTTAAATTCTATAAATGATGTTTTTATTATCATGTTTTATTACAAGATGCTATATAAATTTTAGTCAGAGATAGAGTTGAGCCTTTTTTGGAGACTGAAACATGTTGAGTAGCTTATCAAAATATGTTCATGCAGATGGGTTCTCTGATACCATTTCCGTCCCCCCCACTCATCCAGAAGAAGGAGGAATGGCCAAAAGCAGCATCATTCACTGTAACTTGGACTGCATCACGCCTGGCTGAAATTTCTTCCAGGCTTAACAACATATCTACATCAGGGTAATCTGCTTTGTGCTGTTCTGGGGCAATAGATCTGTGACCTGAAAAAGATGCACTCCACATCCACCCAAGTGGCAAAGCAGGGGTATGATGATATACCAATCTGTTATTACCTGCAGAAAATAAATATGCCAGGGGGTGAGGCTGATTCACAGTTGGTATTGATGGGACATGAACTTGTGAGATAACATACAAACATGTTTGACCTGTTAAGCTATAACTGTTTTTCTTCAGTGTGTGCTGAAGAACAATGATGGCTATTAGTCTATTTTTATAGAGAAGACTACTGGCAAGTCCTGTAAGTCTCTCCAGAGAGCCTTGGTACAAAAATGATTAACTGACTGAGACAGGCATTTGAGCACACACACAATTACTGTGTGCCACTGCAGAGAAGATCGTATATGTAATATTAGTTGGGATGGGGAACTGCCTCAATATTATCAAATACTTAGAACAAATCACTAAGACTCAGTCTACACTGCAGGAATAGTCCTTCTTTAGAAAAGAATAAGCAGTTTGCAGTCATACTCAGAATAGAAAAACTACCTAAATTTATTGAGAAAATTGTTTGTCTCTAAAGAAAATGTGCATACACATTACTTATTGAAGAGTAGGATGAGGTTATTATTGAACAAAATATAAGTAATATTAAAAAACATGATAGAAATCCTGGCTTTTAAAAATACTTTTTGCAGAAATGTGTTTCAGCAGTTCAATACTGTCATTATTTTGTCAGAAAAAACATGACAGGCATTTATATTAGAAAAAGTCTAATTTTCAGCCAAAACAACTCTTGTAAAAACTTGCTAATAGTATATTTTTAGTGATAACAAATTAATAAAGATATTTTTAAAGAAATTAATTTACTTAGTAGCAGCTGTATATTACACATTAATTGATCCATCTATGAAGAGAAAGCAGAGATGTATATTTTAATCCCTTATGGAAATCCTTCAGTAAATCCATGCAGGATACATATTTCATTGATTGGCATCTGTCTACACTTAAAGGGAAAAACAAAGGCAAAAGGATTCCCTGTGACACATCCCCCGAGGACTGGGGAATTTCTTTCTTTTATCTATTGTGGGTGTAAACACGACATCTCACCCTTCCAAACATAAGCTTTGCTCCTGAAATTAGAGATACTTTGCGCTTCTTGTCACATCCCAGCTCTCTGTGAAGAAAGGTCCTCTAAGGAGTTTCTGCTTATCTTGTTTTACTTTGAAACCTGTTCAAAGGAAAGAAGAAAGATCCCACTTAGCCTAGTTAGCCCGAGACTAGATCGTTTGGTTTGCTTATGGAAAGGCTTCCCTTTAAAGATAAGAGCCCTTAGAATGTATCAGATAATTTGAGTTAAACTTTTGGTTGTATGTCTAAGTACTTCCGTGGCTGTCTGCTCTAGCATGTGAGCACATCACAGTTACTCTGTTTTGTCATTATAGCATCCCAGTGAGATAAGAAAACGTCTTTATTTTATGCCTGGAGAACTGAATCACAGGGTAGGTGAAGAATCTCGCTTGAAGTCAAATGGAAACTCTGAGAAGTTCTGTGGTTGATCCAGGGTACTAAAACTAGGTCTGAATTCCCAGAGCAGTACTGTTTCCCCAAACCCAGCCTTTCTCTTTTGTCAGCTGTGCTAACACGTAGTAAATACTTTCAGTTGAGAATTATGTCCAAATCATGCACAGACCTGAATTAGCAGCAGTGCTTATTAGGTAGAAGTACAGCATTTTAAGATACTACTCACACCACGTATGTGCATATTTTTGTAAGATGTTGAGTGCTGTGCCTCCTTTAATGACGTGACTACATGCTAAGGATTTAGCCTTATGAATAAATTTATGTGGCTTTCAAGGCAAAGTAAAAGAATATATTCCTTTAAAGTTCAGATAAAAAAAAAAAGTGAGCATGTTTTGTCAGATCTTTTTGAGATAGGAGTATGCAATGATTTACTATGATTCAGCTGATTCACCTGACCTAAATTGCAATAATATGATAAATTTATCACTGAATTTACACTGTTGTAATTTGACTATTCTGGGATCAAAATGAAAGTGTCTTCTCCAGTGAACAGGAGCAGGATCCTGAGTGATGACCTTCTCTCCCCCAAAATGACTGCAATAATGTGATTCTGGACTAATTTTTCTGTATACTAACAGTAGCTTGTGAGAGCTAGGATTGATTCTACAATGGTGCAGATTTTTTTTCAGCTTACATAGGGCTTGGAAATCTATGACAATCCATCAATTCAGTTAAGAGAAAGTATCTGAAACAAGTTCTTTGTTTCCCCATTACTGCTGCAGCAACGAGAAAGACAACAACAGGATTTGAACTGAGCTAGGTTACAGTAGAGCAACACCCAGTGCAGAAGCCCATCCCTGCTCAGTGACTTGTGTGAATGACATGTGGAGGGAGAAGGTACAGTCTGCGTTCTTTCCTGGGCTGCACCTAGGGAGGTTATCAGTGTCTCAGTATGTAGTGGCTGTGGCTCCTGATGATGCCTTTCCTTGCCACTCTACTTATACTAGGGGTCTGTACAGTAGAATACACCCAAGTGTGCACACCCATGAAAATGAACTGTTCTTCCACAATTAGAAAAACACAGTGTAGTGTCCTACACTGCCTTCAGAGTCTCACTTATTCAGGTAGTTAGATTAAAGTTATTTCAAGTGTAAGTAAAGTATCGTAAACCATCTTCTCCCATTGTTTTTTCTGTCAGAAGCAAAATATTTCTGTGTGCTAGTAGAAGTTCCTCTTTTTTTTTAACTGACTTTTGGCAATCATTGACTCCTAGGCTGACATGAGCATTGTAAATTTTTGATTAATGAAAGGTTGCTTTCCTAGGCTATTTGTCTAACATTAGGCACTGGACTGAGTAGTCACATTGTTTTGTTTCTATGCTTGCCTGACTGCCTGGTTAATTTCTTGATTTTAGGATTTCAGTGTCTAGTGTCTTATGTATAATGGCTCCTGTACATTTCCATTACCTTTCTGGGACAGTTTAGATGACACAAGCTGAGTTTCCTACCATGGTCCTGAACATGGCTGTCCTGGTTTAACCCCAGCTGGCAGCTAAGCACCACACAAATCCTCAGTCACTTCCCCCCTCAGTGGGATGGGGGAGAGAATTGAAAGGGTAAAAGTGAGAACGCCTGTGGGTGAAGATAAAAACAGTTTAATAATGGAAAAGAAATAATAACAATTACTCATATAAACAGCAATAATAAGAATACTAGGGAAAAGAGGAAAAATAACAGAGAGAAAAATAAAACCAATGAAAGACAAGCGATGGAAATGAAAAAAATTGCTCACCACCAACTGACCGATGCCCACACAGTCCAGGAGCAGTACCCTCACCCTTCCCAAGCTTCCCCCCAGTTTTATTACTGAGCATAATGTCATAGGGTTTGGCAAATCCCTTGGGTCAGCTGGGATCAATTGTTCTGGCTGTGTCCGCTCCCAGTCTCCTGTGCATCCCCAGCCTGCTCACTGGTGTTGTGAGAGGCAGAAAATGCCTCGACTCTGTGCAAGCACTGCTCAGCAACAGCTGAACCCCGTGTTTCCAGCACAAATCCAAAACACAGCCCCATACCAGCTACTGTGAAGATAATTAACTCGATCCAAGCCAAAACCAGTGCAGTGACCTTGTATGCAATCCAGATACTCAACATGCAAAGCAGAGATGTTATGACTGTTGCCTTAATAAGCTCTAACTTTTGATACCATTATACTTTTCTCCACAGTCTCACTCAGATTCTTCAAAAGCACCACTGTCTTAACATAGTTTGTGGTTGCATCATCATCTTCCATAGCACATTAATTCCTAGGTAAATGAGCTAACACACTATAGACAGTAAATACCTGTAATGGGTGCTACATAAAGTTTAGCAAAATCAAATACTATACCAGCAAGACTGTAATAGTTCTGTGTACCCTCAGGCCTCAGTTCTGAATTACAGCATTTTCTCAGGTTACATATATGACAGTGGTAATTTATGTACTGAATTAACTCTGCTCTGGTTGACTGATTTTTGGTGACGTGGGGAAATTTACAGTGATGTCAGTGAATGCAGGAGATTCTTATCATTTCTAAACATGGACCATTTGTGTTAGACTTCATATTTGTAAAACTACAGTTACTTTCATTCTCGCCCCTCAACATTCCTGCTATCAATCAAGATAGATACTAGCCTATTTTTCTATATTGACTTGATAAATTAGGCCTGAAAATACAATTGAAATATGCCACTTTTGCACTAATTAAGGATCTGATTCAGTAAACAAAATAGAAAACAATATGCAGCTAATACTCAGAATAAGATCACTCTGCAGAGATATTTCTGAGTGAATTTGTTAAGTCTATTTTGTGCCTGCAAACTTTGCATATAGATTCAAAGATGTGGGATTTTGGAAGGGAAAAAGGTAGAAGGGAGGCTTACCTTGTACAAAAGCAAAACATCATGAGAATTCCTCCTGTGCAGCCATTAGACACCAGAATCTCTCCTGAAATAGTGATTTATTGTGGGAATGAATAAGAAAGATTGTGTGTATAAATCAGAGTGTTAGCTGAGTTGAGGCTCAACTTCAAAGCCTTCACACTTCCTTCCCTCTACTTTTTACTGTATTCTACAGTTTATTTTCCCAGTGAAAACTACTTTTCTCCTTCTCAAGGTCTGCCTTCTTGGGTACTTTTTAAACACTCCCGATTAGAGCAGGGGTTTTGACCTTCTGCTTTAGATTCTATGTAACTATCAATGTCTCACTTGGGAACATTACAGGTACTCTGCTGCACTGAGCTGAGAAGTGTTTAGCTGATTTCTGAGGGTGATCTTCATTGCTTTGAAAAAACTAAGGGTCATATGGTAGGGTAGGCATTAAAAAAACACAAAACAAAACAAAACAAACAAAACAAAATGAAACAATTTTAAAATGAGGCAAAATAAATAACAGCTTCGTGAGGTGTCCCTGCCCATGGCAGGGGGGTTGGAACTAAATGATCTTAAGGTCCTTTCCAACCCTAACTATTCTATGATTCTATGATTCTGTGATTCTGTGTTGTGCCTGATATGCAGCTGGTTTTGCTTCTGCTGATGAACTTGGCAGAGCGCCTGAGCAATAATTACCAAAAATATTTTCCTAACTTTTCTTAAGTTGAATGAACCAACTACTAAAAGAAAATTGTTCACTTGTTACAGAACAACTTCAGAATATTAAAGTGGGTAGTAGCACAATGAATACTGATTTTATTTTTCTTCACCTCTTATTAGACTTCAGTGATTTCAAGGTTAGCCTAGGGGTGGGTTGTTTTTTTTTGGTGAGGGGAGGAAGTGAGCTGAGAAAGAGGGAAGGCCCTGTGGAGATGGAGGAGTATTTTCTGTCTTTTACCAGTGATTTTTAGCAAAGGACAAGCTAATGAATGTGCAAGCATGCAACCATGACAGCAGTGCAGGAAGAAAAAGCCTCATTACCCACAAAATTGCTGAAATTACTGTTCTCATAGGTTTCCACTGAAGAGATGTTTTTTTCACTAGACTGAGTTTCTGTTATTTGTCCTGACTAGACTTTTGACAACTTTTGTTGACTTTTCATCTCTCTAATAAACACACAAACAGTTGTACCCTTCTTGAAACTCAAAGGTGTGATTGCAAGTCATGGAAACCTGCATGTGAAAATTTAGGCTCTGCACCTGCTAAGCCTGGGTTTTGGGAGGATTTGCAAGACTCACACAGGATGCTGTGCCAACCTGGGAACCATACTGACATCGGTCCACCTTTATTAATGATCAGCCTAGCTTGGTTAGAAATGTTTCAGGTAACCCTGCATGAATTTTGACATAATCTCTGAGCTTCACTGTAGGGAGGTGCTTTGCTAGAGATTCTTCCTGTTCACTAACCACTTCCCATTGGTATGCATGTAGTACCCTGTACTCCAATATAGACAGTAGAATGTAGACTTCAAATATTTTTAAGTAGTTCATGACTTAGAGGGTGTCTTTATGTCGAAAGTCCTTACATACTGAAAGAATCAACCTAACTTTTCATTTGGTTTTGTAAGGTAAAGGGCAGTTATGGGTAGACAATATTCTATGTGTGCACTTTTACATTTAGTCAAACCTTTGTAGAGCAAATGCTGTTTTAGACTTCTAGAGAAGAGTGCATAACATGGTCTTTCTGAAGACACTGATTTTGTAGATCCTGCTTTGTTTCCCTGCCATCACAGAATAGATTGAGTTCAGTGATATGGCTCCTAACCAGGGGAAGAATCATAGTAGTATTGAAGGGATTCTGGACCACAGAAATGAAATGGCTTGTTCAAAACCACACAGCAGGGAAGGACCTATGGATGGAACAGAACAGAGAAGGGTTTTTTTGCACTTTGTTTGCCCTTTATCACTTGTAGGAAATTCCATAAGAAGACGTTTCAGAGAAAATCTGTTCTCTGCCTTTAAAAAAAATAAAAATCTTACTTATTTCTCTTTTCTGTCTCCACTGTCCATATTCTCATCCTGCTGCACTGATGTCAGAATTTGGTATACCTTGATCCTATTCCAGTCTAATAGTTCTTAGACTGCCTTTATGCTACATCTGTGAGCTGAATTAAGCATACCATCTTCCAGCTCATAATTTAAAACCTTAAATAAAACTCAGTGTAACAGTGATCCCTGCTGTAATCCACTGGCCAGGTCTCTACAGACTAACACATTGTCATTTATCATTAAGCTTTGTTTACTGTATTTGCTCGCCCCTCATTGTTACCATAAAAATCCTATAGTTCAGACATTAGCTGTCAGTAATCAGAGTTAAGACATTTACCTCATTGCTGGTCAGTTCAGTACCTTCACGTTCCTGGAAATGGTTGCCAAAAGAAAAGGTTAACAGTTGCACAGTAATAAGGTCATAAGATTCATAAGGACAGCAATACAAGGGGGAGGAAAACAATAGCAGAGGCAGCTGGGAGATCTGAAATAGTAGACGTTTGCTTGAGAGAATAACATCAGTGGCAATGACATCAAGAGGAAAGGGGAACAGTTATGAAAAAAGCAGATCATTAGAAGGAAAAGGAAGTGCTGGGCATGGAAAGAATCCAGTATCATGTTCAATTAAACTTGTATTACACATCTAGTCAAGTCAACTCTTCGAGGTTTAAAAGAAAATTGGCTTGATAACTGTATTTCACATCTGACATATTTTAGCTAAAATAAAAAAACTAAAAGAAGGATACAGAAAATCTCTTGTATTACTTGATTGTTTTATAGGTTCTGATTTACAGAGATTCAGTGGATCTCAAATGGAAGAGTACTACTCTATGTTACTGCAGGCCTGAGCTGGGGATGTTATTGCTTAATATAGGTAATTTAATATTGTGAATTACATTAAAGATATCTTGAGACAATCATTTAAGGAGAAGTTTGTGTAATAACATTTATCAATGTATTCTGCAATATTAAAGAAGAGGCATATTTTGAATTATTAAGCTATATTTCTCTTTTGAGATGTAAATCAAGTGAATTTTCACTTCAAATAAATCTCCAAAACCTCAAGGGCTTCTTGCTTCCTCCTGTACTTCTCCCAATTCAATTGCATTCTTGATTACCCTCCAAAATCTATTCATTTATGCTGATTGTTAAATATCCTCTCCCAATTTCCACTAACTACATCATTATCAGCCTTACAGCAGCAGGACCATTTATCCTGTCCTTTATTGTGCTCTCATATTACCATCCCTCCTCTCTTCTGAACACTGACCTTGACCTTCTCCACAAGTCCTCTGTCTTTTCTACTGTCAAAACCTCCTTCACTGTTTATTTCTACTTGATCTGATTTTGACTGGATTTAACCAAACATCTGCTAGGTGTCAGGTGATCAACAGTAAACCTGAAGATTTCATTTTAATGAACCTTCAAAAGTTTTTTAGTCCTTTGAGAGTGTATTCTGTGGTGATGATGTGAGAAAGCAAGAACATTTGTTTGGATTTTTTTTTTTTCAATTTTTTTATATGGCTTTATATAGAATTTGGAATAAAAAATGTTAAGAGGGGAAAATGTGATCAATTTTCTAAGGTAAAGAAGTGAAAGCAGAAGGACTTTCATTTAATTGAACACATTTTTATTATTTTATCTTCTTTCACTTTTCTGTCTTTTCTTTTCCCCATGTCCACTCAGTTTTTCCACACCTTTTTTTTTTTTTTTTCCTGCCACAGAAAATATGTATGAAGTAATGTATCACTTTTTGGTAGGCTATGAGGCTAGGAATCCAGATCTTATCAGGTAAGTGCATTGCATTGCACTACTCCCAGAATTGAACAACAGAGTTTTTCCATGCAGCAAAGGGATTTTGGGTTATCCCTGTGGGATGTGGTGATCAACTTTCTCTTCCAAATAACCATCTGAAGCTTTAATTATTCTTGAAAATTTAAGGATTGTTTTGATTAGGAATAAAAATGTAGAACAGATGAAAAATGTAGAACAGAGATTTTCTGCTTCCTTTTTTCTGTCTCTGGACATAAAACAGAGGAGCAACTGCGGTTTCTGTATATGCAGGGAAGCACAAAATCAGTATGAACCCCTAAATCAGCAGGATGTTGGATATATGTGCAACAGGCTGGTATGACCAAGCAGAGTCCTGCTTCCTCACGACTCCCAGGGTTGGAGTAGGGAGCTGGATGGTGCAGGAAAGCATAGGGAGCAGTTGTGCCACCCTTACAACAAGAATGGAAAAGAAAGAGCTTTTCTCAGCCCTTTCACTTCAGTAAGAATGGGCAGCAGTTTTGCTTTATATTTTTGAGGCTCTTAACAGTGCATGTGCCCCCCTTTCTGCTTAAATCAAGAAGCCAGGCAAAGGTCATCGGTTTTATGAACTGTATAATGCTAAGAGGGCAGGCCTCTTAGGTGAAAGGAAAAAAAAAGAGCGAAAGTGAACAGGTGAAAATAATCAAGATTTAAATCCTCTCTTAATGTGGTAAATTCTGTGGGTCAAGCTAGCGCAGCACTGAAATGAGCAGAAATGGAAGCTCACATTTCCCCAGGGTGTGACTAATGCAACTCTAAAACAACACACATAATCCCAAGCTATTAAAGCACTCATAAAAGAACACTCCTCAAGTATATTAATACTGTGTGAAGTGTGTGTCTGCTTTATGGCATGCTGTTTCTTAGTCAGACTGCCCCAGTGTGGAATATCCTGGTGCTAATGCACCTGTCTGTTTTCCTCTGTTTTGCTGTTCAAGTTTACTAACATTAGTGGATTATCCCCTAGCATTTCTAGATCTAAGGGGCAATATTATATTCAGTTGTGGTTTTTTTCCGTGGCAATAGTGGAAAAGGCTATCTGAGTGCTCCTTATTTAAGGCATCATCTAAGTGCTGGCAGTTCAGCAATGTACTGTACTTTACAAGTGTTTGTGGCAGGAACTTCTGGTAGTTTTCTCTTTCTAGATAGGTAGACAATATTTAATTGCCATGGTATTTGACAGCATCTTGTAGTTACCAGTGAGATTTGCTTTTGACCCATGCACTGATGTTCCAGGCTTTCAGGTAGAGTGGAGCTGTGTCTTTAAATTAAACAGAATTGGCAGTGTGCATTAAATACAAACAGCAGTCTTTCATGTTAGATCTGAAAGAAAGAGCACAGGTTGGTGGGAATTTTGTGTATCAAGAAAAAAAAAGCCCAACAAAACAAAGCCTGGCCTAGCTGTATAAAATTCCACTTCAAAAAAGAAAACCCAGAAAGCGCATAGTTTTTTTTACAAACAAGCGGAAAGTCAAAGAGACTCTTGAACTTTTCCTGTTTTTGTTGTGTCTAATGTCCAGCAATTGGTTAAGACTAATAGCCATTTTCTCAGGGTTACATTAATACTTCAAAGAATTTGACCAAACCACAACTGGAGTTTCCTTTTGAAAATGTTGATGGCAAGTTTGATTAAAACCTTTTATTCCCATAAACAACTTATGCAGTTGAATAACCCTTTTATTTTAGACTTGTTTAATTTATTAAAGTCTCATCTCACCCATTTGCTTAGTGAAGCCATTACTTTGCAAACATCTGATAGAAGAGGGAGTCTGAGGTGCTTAAGTGCAAATAAATATCTGTAGAATTTAAACCTTTACCTCTACTTAAGAACAAACTATTATTTTGAGCTGAACATTTGCAAGAAGTTTAAAGGAAAACAGGATTCTTCTATCTTGGTCTATAATGTTTCTGTGTAACTACTGGAGCTGGAGATTATTCTTTTATAATGAATGATACATACTACTAGCATGATGTATTCTTTGGGGAGGACTGAGGATTTTAGCCCTGCTTCCAGACTTCCTATTCATACTCTAGCTCCTAACTGCCTTAATATATAAATATGAGATTCCAGTACTCATCAAGGCATTAAGTTCTGTCTTCTAGCAGATAAATTGTGGACTGTGACAGAAATTATTTTGAAAAATGCCTGTAAAATTGAATACCACAGTACTAAATCCATCTATTTCTTATAATTTGCATTATTCCAAAAGCACTGGGAGACAGAAAACCACCTGATCATCTTAACAGAAAATTTCTCCACCATGCAGAATTTTACAACAAATAAAATATGTCTCTCATCAATAGTTTATCTCCATACCAGCAGGTTTTATGTTAGATGGACTGTCTGCCTGTACCACTCAAACGGTGGCTCTAAATTCATGCAGTTAGCCCTGCACTCTCCACCTGCTCATCCCCTTCTTTACACCCTCTCTTCTTTAATGAAGAACATTAGGAACTTGCCTATGTGAAAACCAGTAATAAAGGAAGAAGGAAGAAGGAAGGAAGGAAGGAAGGAAAGAGAAGAAAAGAGAAAAGAAAAGAAAAGAGAAAAGAAGAAAAGAGAAAAGAAGAAAGGAAAAGAAAATTAAAAAAAAGAAAAGAAAAAAGAAAAAAAGGAAAGGAAAGGAAAGGAAAAGAAAAAAGAAAAGGAAAGAAAAGGAAAAGAAAAGGAAAAGAAAAGAAAAGGAAAAGAAAAGGAAAGGAAAGGAAAGGAAAGGAAAGGAAAGGAAAGGAAAGGAAAGGAAAGGAAAGGAAAGGAAAGGAAAGGAAAGGAAAGGAAAGGAAAGGAAAGGAAAGGAGAGGAGAGGAGAGGAGAGGAGAGGAAAGGAGAGGAAAGGAAAGGAGAGGAGAGGAGAGGAGAGAAGAAAGAAAAGAAAAGAAAAGAAAAGAAAGAAAAGAAAAGAAAAGAAAAGAAAAGAAAAGAAAAGAAAAGAAAAGAAAAGAAAAGAAAAGAAAAGAAAAGAAAAGAAAAGAAAAGAAAAGAAAAGAAAAGAAAAGAAAAGAAAAGAAAAAGTTAATTTAGCCTAGGACTTCATGGCTGTCTGAATAAACATGGTGTTGCCACAAGGAATAAAACTGTGGGAGTGAGAAGTGGTGACTGCAGTAATGGGAAGCGGGGACTACTTAATTTGGTGGAAATGCTGGCTGAAAATGATAGCTGAATTACAATGTAGCTTTATTCTGGATTGAATATTGGCTGTCCTCCCACAGTCACTGCAAATCTGGCATAATAAAGCCCTGTATAAACATATGCTAGCTAATTTAACAGACCTGTGATCATGTATCTACTCCTGATAGCAATGACAATTGCTATCAGGACCTGGCAATGCACAGGGCTGGTACAGGTGGCTTTGCAGCCTCAGACTTCTTTTGCAGCCAGTGTGCTGAGATCAGGAGCTACAACTGTCCACCTGGCAGTGACTTCTGTCTCACATGCTGCATGCACTGGACATTGGATGAGCTAAGCATCCAGCCTGCAGTTCCGTCTATGCATCTCATGCTGTTGCTCTAGAGCCCCATTGACTCAGACAGTGTGTTAATGACACCTGATACACATATTCAATACTGAACATAGGTATTCAAGTTCAGTTTGCTTGTGCAAATACTGGCCACAGTACTATTGTTCAGAAAGATCTTCTTGATTTCGTGGCAAAACTGAAACAGTATGTAGCTGTTTTAATTTCAAATGCCAGTTCATTGAAGATGTTAACTATTTAAGTCTTTGAGTAAGTTATAGAGAAATATAAAAGCAAATTATGAATCTCCATATAATAATGGAACTGCCAGAATTATTTTCTAGACATATCTTTCACTCTGATTAGTTCTCTTTTTCACTCTTGTGCCACTACAAGGTTTCTGCAATGCTGAGGAAAAAGCCCAGCTTATCTGAACTACAAGCACCTTAGATTCCTTATAGCTTATAAAATGTACATAAATGTATGTCCAGTGGCAAATAGCTTTGGGACGTTTAAATCACATTTGCTGCTTGAATTTAAATACATTCTAGTGACCTAGCACTCTGCTGACCTCTGGAGAGAAAATACCTCTGTCTGAATGCACCTTATTCCCAATATTGTGAACAATCACTTTGCTGTTTCTTTCAATTTTGCTTTCACCATATTGCTTTACTTTGATTTCCTCCTATTTTTCATCCTGACATACACACACATTAATGGTTGTTAATATCCTTGCTAGAAACTGAGTCCTGGTTGCATTGCTCTTCAGGTAATAGCTTGGGGTAAGCAGGCATGGGACCATAAAAATACAATCTTTAATCTTAAGGACTTCCTGTTCAGGAAGGGCTAAGTGCAGACCAAATGGCACCGAGCAAACAATGTGACCTGCACTGACTTTTAATGTGAATAAACAATCTGATTAAGAGTTACTCACTGCTAGATATTCTCAGCAAGTCTGAAAGAAAAATAGTAGCTCTGCTGGTGCTGAAATTTCAGTTGTTTCCACTAGAATCAAATAAGCCTTGCTCACTGGGGAGTTAGACTGTTGGATTCCTTTCCTCAGTTAAAGAAACAGAATAGTACCTTTCCACTCCCTAGTACCTACATCTCCTGATCTCTCTTGCTTTCACAGTTAGAGGCATGCATCGAGCAGAATGTTGCTTTCTGGCCATATTTTTAGATTTACTCAGAATCAGAATACTGCAGTAGCCACTATTGGAAGACCCTTCTTTGGAAGACCCTCCTCTACATGTCACATCTGAAGAACTGGATCTTTAGGCTTAAAGACATATGTTTCAAAATCACTGAACCTTACACATATAATGATAGGTGTTTTGTCTG